ATTTGTTTTAATATTGGATTCGAACGGTAAAAGGGTTTGTAATACATACCAGCTGACAAATGGATTTCGTGTACAAGTAAAGGTAAGACCATAAACTTTTATTATTTCTAGTTAGAAATAAGCTCAATTGGAATAAATTTTAACCTCAAATTAAATATGGGTCACGTTTGTGTGAAGAATGCTGATATGAGATATAAAACACAACGCATTGTCTGTTAACAGACAATTTGTATTTGTAAATCTGTAAAAGAGTTAGTGCCTCACCAGCTGTCAACCTCACCGCACGTCACTGGCTGCAAGTTGTCAGTCCATGCACCATTTTCTCTTTTCAGAGAAGTACAATGGCAGGTCTTCCTCTTTGGCCTTTTGTTCTTTGCACCTTTGAGTGGCAACTTGGACCTGTTCACATATACTGGCAGAATGAAAGAACGGCTTCTCATTCAGACCAGGTATGTTCACGGTGTTGGCAGACTAAGGCCTGACAGTTTTCATTCAACCCAAACATCAAGACATGATGTCACTTCTTAGTCTTGGGCGGCAGGTGTGCTAGTGTTGCTTCTTCTTCTTCTGTTTATTTCTGTGATTGGCAAACAAAATAACGTGCATTACTGCCACCTTCTGAAGAGGAGTGTGGGCCAACTCTACCACAGACTTGTGATTCATCCAGAGAACATTCTAAACACCAAGTTCCTCTGTAAACCTGATTTTATTTTCTTCCAGCTGTATTTTTAATCTTTATCTTGGGCATTCCTTCAATACATGTTCTATTGTTACCACAATAATCACTTCTACCATCTACAGCATAATACGATATCCTAGTGGGTTGTGTTCATCTCTTTGCTGTGTCATTGTGATGGTACCCTCGTGCACAAAGCCAGAAAAGTTCTTCCTACTTTACTGTGGAAGAAGTTGACTGGTCTACAGAGTCCTGACCTCCAGCCCATCTGGCTCTTCTGGGACAAACTGGGACACTGACTGAGAGCCAGATCACCAGAATCAGTGCTGGACCTCACTAATACTCTGGCATCTGGATGGGACCAAACCCCTGCAGCCAGGGTCAATATCTGGCAGAGAGTCTGAAAAACCTTTTGGCCACATAGTGTTGGACATCATAACAGATCAGAAGAACACAGTGCACACTTTTTATACTGTAAGTCTCTGCCTTAGCAACACTCTGCGAGCCAACTTACATTGTCATCTGCCAAATAACACATCCTTCAGATCTGTAAAAGAAACGAGTCTCGTCTGAATGTGGCCATTGTTTATTGACCGTTTCCGCAGCCACACTTTAACACAAAGGTCACGGCCTTTGAAGAAGATGAAGTGGCGTTTACTAAATCTGTGGTGTAAGTGAAGATTTATCTCCACAACAGGAACCTTTCAAACAAGTTCTTCACAATTCAACAGACACAGAACAATAGTAGAAGGCACAACAGAACGCAACAAGAAATAGAGGAATATATTTCAGCTTTACCCACTCAGACTCAAATACACAACACTTACTAGTATGAGGACGTCAACGCTTTAATTGCAGCAGTGAGATGAAACTCCTACAGCACCTTTTTGTGAAGTGCTCTCAGCCTCTATTCCTTCGTCCTCTTTTGATTAAAATTTGCACAGCAGTCATTATTTTTAAAGGCAAGTAAGTAAATGAAAGATCATTTTATTGTTGTTGAACAGGGCTGTATCATCTTTGTGTGAAGGAGAAATCCCCACAGGGCAGTGAGTAAGCGAGGCCGAGCCGACTTAATCTGAAGGAGCAATATGGCAATTAACAGCGGGCTCTCCGCCCAGCGAGTCTCTGCCCTGTGTTCTCCCTTTGAACCAGCTGATAACTAGAGCTCTCCGAATGCCTTCAGATCCATGTAAATAAGCAATTAAGATCTAGAGCACAAGATGAGGGGAGCTTGCTTGTGTTGTTGTGTATTTCTTACTGTCACAACCTTGCCCTCCTCTTTTAGTTATTCACTTCATAGCTTTTTCTCTTTCATCTTAAATCTCTGCCCCCAGCTCTCCCTGCACGCACACATGCACAGAAACACGCAGCCATCATCAGCTCCATCACTGGATGCTGTGGGTAGCATGCCTGTGTGGTGCGTGCGCCCATGCTTATATTTGTACACACCATCTGTTTGTGGATTTAAACGACCGATTTCTGGATGAAGTTCAGGATGTGACATGAGCTAATTATGAAAATATCGTTGTGTTGCTGGGAATAATTTAACGATTTTCTATGTCCACACCATCATATTAACAGTAGGAGACATCTCAGTAGAGCAGCAGATCATTGTGAACAGAGATGATCTGGAGTAAACCTCAGTAAAACATAACATAAATGCATATGCACACATTTAAGTAGAAGATAAAATAACCGAAATACTGTAGATGCTTCAAGCAGCTCCCTCCAATCACATTAATCATCCTATGCCATTAATCATCCTTCCCAACTCACTCGTGAAGAGCTCAGGCTTTTAAATCATCAAATCAGGATCATATCTATAATATAAAAGACCACAATGAACCCACTGGCATTTGAAGACCTTGCTTGTTTCATCTCGGTTTTAATATTTGTGTGTTTGCACTATTTGTACATTATCTAGGCAACTTAATCGTGTACATTACTATACGATGCTACACTATATTGTACAATTACTTTCTCTAATATTTCCAACTTATTCTATCTTTTTTGTTGTTGTTGTTGTTGTTGTAAGACCAAAAGAATGTTTGTTTTTTGGTGAGTTCATGGGATCATTGTTGCTGAGTAGTACAACATGGGGTCAGCATGGTACTGTATGTTGAAGAAGTATTACTGTAGTATTGACTGGAACTAAGTCTGAAAAGTTTTTAAATCTGCCTACTGGCATCTTTCAAGCTCAACAATCAACAATCGGCAACGTCTGCGTTTTAACACCACATCTTTAAACTGTAGGAAGACTGAAAATTAAAAACCACCTGCTGAGATTCACAGACATCATCGGCAGAGACTCTAAACATTTACTGCACCGGGTCGAGCCACAGTCAGGCACATACCCCCCTGAAGAAACACAACTTATCATTTTTACATTTTGCTTTTGGGACAAACTAAATAAAGAAGATACAGACATCGCCTTGCATGCTAAGCTGACTGTGGCTTCAGGTTTTGGTACAGAGCGAAGCATAGATCGTCTCACTTTACCTTCATCAAGAAAACAAGTGAGCATGTTTCCCAAAAAGTCAAGCCACTGCTATGTGAAATGGTTTACATGATGTGTGCTGTCCCCACAGTGACAGCACCTCTGGACAAATGGATACTGTAAGCACGAGATGTACTAGAACAGCTGGAGTAGAGCAGGAGACATCCGAGGGTCAGGAAGTGCAGAGGAAGCTTGAAAAGGAGAGGAGAGATAAAAAATGGTTTAATGATATGTTGAAGTGACGCTACTTCTCCCTTACTCTTGTCCTTGTTCTTTTCCAAGTCTGAATTTAATGGCTTTCTAACAGTGACTGGAGCCATTTCCTGCATCCATTCCGAGGGAACGTCCTCATAAAAACTGCAGGAGCAGAGGGGGCTGCCTGTTTGTGGGGCTCATCCATCTGGCCGTTAGGAATAGGTGCTACAAGATGAGGATCGAGCAGTGAGGAAAGAGGAATAGAGCTGATTATACACAGCAAACCCGGACAATTTAAATGATTTGCAGATTAATGGCAGCACCGCATGATGAGCATTTTAAACCAACAAAATCCCTGGTTTGAGTAGGGGCATATCTGGCATTAGCTGGTAATCCAGCACAGCAAGACATCACATCAAAACATCTAAAGAGATGTCTCACCTGATTCCTGCAAAGCACTCAACCTCTCACTGAGCAAAACGTGCAGCTGCCTTGATGCCCAGAGCTCCAGGGCCACAGAGTGCTGCAGCTCCACTGTTGGAAATTGACTGACAGCATGAGGACTTTAAGGGGGTTGAGCAGGTTGTTTTATTACCTGATTTTGAGGCGCTGTCTCGATGTGGGTCCCTTCATTCTTTCACATTAGCATTAACACAGTGCATAGATCTAAATTAATGGGTTTAATCATAATACCACACAGCAAAGCTGAGGAGATATGGTTATGTCATTCTAAATTATTGGCAGATTTCTGTTCAGACAGTCTTCTTCCAGTCAGGAAGCACTACTTCTGCATACTCCATGCCAGCAGACACTGGGAGAGGTGGGCTGCACCTGGACAGGTGGAAAGTCTGTCACAGGGCTGACACACAGAGGCGGAGGAGCAGACACACTCACTCCACCATGACTGTGGACTGTGGTAGGAAGCTCCCGCAGTCCACAGTGAACCAGGTCCACAGTGTCCAGATGAAACCCATGCAGGCTCCTCACAGAAAGTCCCCGGACAGTCACCAGGTTCTTGTTGTGAGGCCACAGCTCTACCCACTGCAGCACCATTTCAGAAGCATTTAGGAAATCATTTGAATTAAAGATAAAGTCACCACTTGCCTGAGTTACAGTGAGCTCAAATTAGGTCAAAGATGTTTTACTGGACACCTTGGCTGATGGAATTCACACTGGTCATAATCATTTCACATGAAAATCATAATGAGAAGGAGGTTTGTCCAGGCCATGGAGATGTCAGCTGGGCTGCTCTCCCGTGTCAGACCAGTCAGTGGGCAGAGCAGGAAGTTAGCAGTCCACTGAGTGCAGATTTAAATGAGAATGAAAAGGTGCTGGGATCATGTGAGGAGCAGGTCCCCTCACACATGTGGCAGATTGATGGCTCCACTAGGACGTGTCAGGAGCAGAAATCAGCAGACATGTCACTGACACTCCTCTGATTTACTTTGCTTCATTAAACATTCACCAGCAGAGTTCCAGTGTGTTTCAGTCACTGAATTTATAGCTATTGATTATGGAGACTCACTCCTGTGGATGCATCAGTGCTGGAACTGGTCCTGACTGGCCCTCCAACTGAGGAATTTTTGCAATACATCCAGTCAACCCAGTTTAGAGAAACCAGTGGGAATGTGAGTCCACAGGGCTGTGCTTAGAGCTGCCAATATAGTTGTTTTGGTTGCATTTTACTGAAACTGAGGATGCAAGCGTTAGTGTGTGCCCTCACTGAACCACTCAGAAACCACTGAGAGTGATTTTAAATATGATGCATGATTAGGAGCAAAGCGCTCCATGGTAACAGCTACGCTCACACTATGGTGTTTCCTAATTGGCTGGATTTTCAGCCCCGTTCAGGCGCCCATCCAGTGCACTCAGTTCACTGGAGGAGAGGCGATAAAGCAGCATTTATCAGTTTTTGGCACTAGGGAGAAAAAAATCTAAAGAAGCTGACAGATACAGGACTGACACACTTTGTCCACTTATAAAATAATAAAGGAAAATGGATATTTTGGAAAATGTGTTTATTTGCTGTCTGTCCGAAAGTTAGACAGGAAGATCAAAACTATGTCTGTGTTTTATTTAGCTAGAGCCGGGAGGCACTCGGCTTAGCTTAGCGTGTGATTTGACGTGGGGGGAAACAGGTAGCCTGGCTTTGACAATATGCCCACTAATTAATTCAGCC